ACCATAAATCTAGTACAAATAATTCACATGTGTACCATAAATCTATTACAAATAAGCAAGCTGCCTACATAGATCAAAACTGAAAAGTGCCCCAATGCTGAATATAGTTGAGTTAATATACTGTTCTAACTTGTAATGGTTAGAATGCATTGATTGTTCAGTTAGGTACCCTCACTGTGACTTAAGGTACAGATTTAGGTCATAGCAAGAATTTTAGATGAATACCTTCAGAATTTATAAAATGTGTCCTTAATACATAGTATCTAAACAAGAAAAGGAATTCAAGTTAATTTAAATGTGCATTTACTAAGATTCTCTTTTAATTAAAATCATTATTTAGAAAAATAAAACATACTTTAAAATCATATCTATTACAAAGAATTGTTTAAAATTAGGTACTCAATATGATTTATTTTGTCTTCTGCAACTTGATGTTAGACTAGTTCTTATTGGTGCTTTTTTAACTGTTGTCCATACAGATCGATACTACCCAAAATATTCTACAATATTTCCAAATGTATACCATGGTTTTAAAATTGCCATGATTAGAACATACGAGCCAGACAAGACTTTTATACAAGAAATTGTAAAATGCTTTAAAGAAACACTTATCTAAGTCTGCTTGTCGTTGAAAACAAGATTTTGAGGTGATTAAAAAATATATATATACAAATCTTTGTTTGGTATTAAAAGTAGTTTGTATCTGGGTTAAAAACTTAATTGTCTGATTAACCTAACTTTTACTTATATACACACACACACACACACACACTTGTACATACATATTTTTTATTCTTAGTGATTAATAGGTAATTCTTATTAGTGAAATCAAAAATTATTTTAAATACTCTGTTTCAGTGTGAGTGTATCCTAGATCATCAACATATTTTTTAACTGAATTTCAGACTGGTTCTAAGTGGTGCTCCCTTAATTGCTATCCATAAAGGCCGATACTACAAAAGGCAAGATGGACTTGCTCTTGGACCAGGACCTTTTGTGGCTGGATTAGAATATGCCACAAATAGAAAAGCTGAAGTTGTTGGAAAGCCTGAAGCTTCATTTTTTTTAGAAGGACTTAGACCTTTTGACTGCAAACCAAATGAAGCTATCATGATTGGAGATGTATGTTGAAACTTTATTCTGTTGCAATTTTTAACTTGGCTGTTTTGTTATTAACCATATTACCCACAAAATTTAAATAGATGAAGAAATGTTTTCAAAATATATTTATATCTTATCTGCTCATAAAAAAATAATAGAAAATTCACAAAAACAGTTTCCAGCTTACTATATTTAAAGTTTTTTTGTTTTTTTTCGTAATCATTCTGTACTTGTATGTATTTGTTTAGTCATTTTATAGAATTTAATGCACTTTTTTGTTTCATCATTGTTTTAATGGTATTCTCAGATATTCTTATTTTTCCCAAGAGTGATAAGTTAGGTTCCTCTAAATAACAGGAGGTTTCAGCTGAAAATTCATAATGTACACTGGATGCCACTTATTGTGATCATGGATAATGTTATCATTCGTATAATGTTTTCAGAATTACTAAGTCCTGATTAACATATAAAAATAAATAGGAAAAACATCGTTTATTGTAATCAGTACTTTGTTTTTGTTATTACTTTTAATCCGCTTAACCATCTCAAGTTCAAGTAACCTGAGGAAGGTTCACCATAAAATAGGGCATGGCTAAGTTGTCATTAAGATCACCTACACTCCCACGTTTCCTTTCCATAATTAGTTGTTCTCATTCCTTTGTGAGAAAGTTTCACCATAAAATAGGGCATGGCTAAGTTGACACTAAGATCCCCTATGCCCTTGCGTTTCCTTTCCATAATTGCAGTACAGTTTTTTTTTGTTCCTTCATGAAAGATGGTGCTCCCACAAATTGCAATTTTTGTTAACTCTCTTTAATAATGGAAGAAGTGCATAAGAAATGTAAAGATCTAACCCTTAAAAAAAATTGCCATTTTAGAATGCTATTATAAGTTACCAAAAATGGGGCAACATAATGCAGTAGTGCAATTAAAAATTTCCCAACTTCTTTTGTGTAAAATTGTAAAAGTTGAGCCGACATTGAGAGGGAAGCAAAACCAAATGAAAACCTAAACTGTAAGAGAAAGTGGAGTGGAAAAGATAACCAGGTCGAATTAGCATTAAAACATTGGTTTACTAATATTCGTGTAAATGGACCAATTGAAGAAGAATGGCCTAAAATTATTTCAGAATATTCGCTTGCTTACAATGCAGATGAAACTGGGCTTTATTATCGTGCCTTGCCTGAACATACTTATTTGTTAAGAAAAAAGAGAGTGTATGAAAAGTTATAAAACTTCAAAGGAACATGCAACAGCCCTATGCTGTGTAGGTATGTCTGATAACAAAGAAAGGCTTTGGTGATTGGAAAAAACAAGAATCCGCGGTGTGTCTTAAAGATGTGAATAAATTACCCGTTGACTACTGCTCAAACTCGAATGATTGGATGACAGCCCTTATCTTTAATGATTGGTTAATGAAATGGGATAATGAGTTAGAATACAACATTGTTCTGCTTGTTGACAACTGTACTGCACATGTCATTAATGTGTCATTAAAACACATTAAGGTTATTTTCTTACCCGCAAATACGATGTCATTGATCCAACCATGCGATCAGGGAATTATTCGAGCAGTAAAGGCTTATTAACATAGAGAAATGTGCACTAGAATCTTAGAAAATGTGGAGGACACACAACAACTGAGTACAAAGGATTTAGCCAAAAAAATTAATCTCTTAGAGGCCCAGCATCTTTTAGCCATGTCATGGAAGCAAGTGTTTGAAAAGACAATTCAGAATTGTTTTAATCATGGGGGGGGATTCTCGAAATAAGACAAAGAAACAGAGGAAATTGTAGACAGACCACCTGACGTGACTATAAATGATTTTGAAGCAATTGATCAAAATATTCAGGTTCATGCTGAGCTGAGAGAATCAAACATTTGTTAGACTGTTACTCAGATTGACCCAAAATTGACAGATGAAGAAGAAGCTTAAGCCCATAAAGCTGATAAACCTCCAATAAGTGCTGAAATGTGAGAGGCACTTTGAATTTTGTGACTTGGCATACAGAACAGATCAGACGAGTTTCATAAACAGTATAAATATGAAAGTTTTATTAATGAATTGCTCCAAAAAAATAGTAGACAATCAACTTTAAATGAATTATTAAAAAATACACAGATAAACATAAATTTTTGTGTGTCACGTAGTATGTTGAATGTCATCTCTTTCTTTTGAATCAAGTTTTCAATGAGGTAGGTTGTGTATTTAGTCTGCTTGAAATTTCATATTTTTTAGACTGAAATACAACTTAGTTACTAAGCTTGATAAATTATACTGGATTCTATGGTATTGATATTGTAATTTATGATTTTTTGGTTATTTAAAATGTATATATAAAACCTAAAAAAAAAATTTTTTTTAACATCCTCCACGTGGGAAACTTCATAAGGCTTAGCAATGTACAATAAACAGACAAATGAGTACAAAGGTTGTAACTAGAAGAGATAATTGTTTGCTTTACTTCTATATTTACTGTTCTATGTTTTAAGAAAAATAAGCTTAAGAACCTTTTTCTAAATAGCAATAATCTATATTCATGTATAATGTATAGTAATTGAAATGTGACTGTATTTTACAAAATACTAGTCTACTAAAACAGAGCCAAGACAGGTCACTTTGTAAAGACTAAAGGTCAGTTTTATATTATTGTATATGGTAACATGAGTGCATGTGTGTCACATCATTGTAACTTCTGGATTGTTAGCCAGGCATGGCTGAAAGGTCAATATAATAAAAATATATAAATGTATAATATTATGAGATTTAAGCTACTTAGTCTAAACATTTATGTTTTCCTGTTATAATTTGTTGTCATTCTAGAATGAAAGAGGCATAATTTATATTTATTTCCTAATTTTTTATGATGGTTATGAGATTGATCAAATCGGCCAAAC